CACTGCGGACAGAAGCAAACTGGAGAACAGTAAAATCCATGTCACTTCAGGCAAATATTCTTTGCACAGTTAATATAATTAAGTAAATAGCTGAAGGCTGCACTGTCTTTTTACCAAAAGTTTTAAATGTATAGAAGCACATAAGGATCCAGAAATAGAGCTTAATAAAATGCTAACAAAAGGAAGAATTAAACAGGATACAGAGAACAATTGCAAAATGATGTTACCAAACCTGATGCACAGCAACACCAATCTACTGGTTGTGGTGAAGGAAAGCACAGCATTTAATGCAGGGCCAGCAAGGAGAACAGGCAACTCATACTCAAAAGACCCAAATTCCCCAATGGCTTTCAGGGGAGTGTTTTTTAAGACAGTGTAAGGGTGAAGGTCACAGGTTGTGTGATTATCTCATGCACAATTCTCTGATTGGTTGGTGTGACGTAACAAGGTGGCATTTCTAAAGTTAACAATGTCGGTCTTCTGGTTCCAACCAGTCTGGGGTCTGTGTGCTACTGGTCAGCGTGCAGTTAGCTTCTTCCATCTGGTGGGGGTTTTAGTTTCTGAAAAAAAACCCAAGTATATGGCTCAGGATATTATCTGTAGCCTCTGAGAAGGAACTAAAGATCCTTGACTTTCTTTTATGACTACACTATTATTATTTTGTCTTGCTTGACTGTTTTCCTTTGTTTCTACATTATCTCTCTTCTCTGATTAAATCTGCTCTTTGGAACTCAGGGAAGGCCTAGGAGGCAAAAGCTTTTTTATAAATAAGAGTGGGAGACATGAGGAGAAGTAAAAGGTCTGAGGAGAAGTAAAAGGTCTGTCCGTGGGAAGGCTCTGCAGGGTCCTGCTCTGTTTCAAAGGAAAAGCTTACTTATTGAGAGTAAGTAAAGAAAAATTATGTCAAAAAATTCTATTTTGCAAAAGACATCAAAGTAAATAGAAAAGACCCCTTCAATTATATCAGGAAAAAAAAAAGTCAGTGGTAAAGGAAAGTGGTCTAGTACTAGAGTGGAAAGGAAAACTAATAATAGATGGCATTAAAAATACGAGTTTTCAGTGGATACTTCTGGGAATTTCAGCCTCTATAAAAGATAATAAAAATAGACTTTAAAACTTGTTTAGGTGATATGCTAATTGGAAGAGTGAAGAATCCAGTCTCAGCTATTCCTTATGAAATAATCATACTAAAATGACTCTAATGTGTTTGATAATCTGTTCATTGTGGGGAAAAAGTGGTGGTAAGAAGCTCAAACACCTAGGAAAATAATGTGATCATGTCAAAGATGTGTATTTCTTTAAAGGAAGAGTGAAATACTGACAATCATTTGCGTGAGATTCTATCTTGTATTGTATCATTTCTTCTCAAGGTCCAGAGGATGTTTATTTGGATGACCATAAGGATCCATTTTCTTCATGCATACTGTTGAGCAAATTATTATTACTGGAGAGAGTCGCAGAATAGGAAATGACACAGTGAATTCCTAATTACCAATTTCAAGTTGGTCTTCAGCAGTGCCTGGCAATTCTATCTACTTCTTTGGCCAGCTGGCTCTCCACTTCTACAATAGTTCGAGATTTCTTTATTTTCCTCAATCATTAACATAAGTCAGTCTCCATGGGTAACACTATTCCAAGCAGCAATCATCTCTCACCCAAACCAAAATAATAACAAGGTAACTTATTTCCTTATTTTAATTCTTTCTCTCCTTCAAGCCATTCTCCAAACTAAAATCTGATTACTCTCCTCCTCTGACTGAATCACCTTAATTACTTTCCATATGACAAAATTCTGTGACCTGCCCTACCACTTCCTCTCAAACCACTTTCCTCCTTCACTTTCAGTGCTTCAGTTACATTAGCCCTTAATTCTTCAGGTGCACAATTCTTCTACTTTTACCCATCAAATCGGTTTCTTAGGGTGACTGTAGCAAAGTAGCACAACCTGAGTGGCAAAACAACAGAAACTTATTTTCTCACATTTCCGGAAGCTAGAAGTCTGAAATCACAGTGTTGGCAAGGGCCATGCTCCCTCTGAAACCTGTAAGGAAATTCTTCCGTGCCTCTTCCTGGCTGCTGGTGGATTGCTGGCAGTCTTTGGCATTCCTTGGCTTGTTGATGGATCCTTCATCTTCAAAAGGCGTTCTCTCTGTGTTTCTCTGTTTCCAGATTTCTCCTTTGTATCTTATATTGGATTAGGGCCCACCCTAATGACCTCATTTTAACTTGATTACCTATATAAAACTCTATTTCCAAATAAGGTCACATTCTGTTATACTGGGTGTTAGGATTTAAATGTATCTTTTTAGAGGGGACATAATTCAACATATAAAAACCCAACATTAACACAGGAGTTTTTCACATGTTGTTTGTTCTCCCAGAAATCTTCTTGGCAACCCTCACCCTTCCACTGCCTTGTCTAGTCACCTTTTCAAGTTTCAACCCAGAATGCTTTTCTTAGGAAAGACTAATTCACAATCTAAATATATTTTTTTCCAGTAAATGCACTTAGACGGCCATAAACATTGCCTTTGTGACATCTATTACATTTGTAATTTTACATTTATTGGTGAGATTATTTGATTACTATCTATCTACTTCATTAGGCTATTAACTCTGTGAAGGCCATTTTGTCTCACTGTTGTATTACTACAGTGTCTGGAATACTATAGTAGGTATCCAATAAATGTTTGATTGAATGAATGAATAATAGATCAGACCAGAAATGACAAAATTGTCAACTTAAAGTTTCAAATTTTCTACTTTCACTAAAGTGTTAGTTAATGAGAACATAAATTGATTGTGTCTATACAATTCAAATAAAATAATATTCTACCTGTCAGGAAATAATTTTGCTTACATTAAACTAATTGACAAAAAAATAAGAAGTTTGCAGTTTATTTTGAATTATCCATGCTACAGTAGGTGTACAAGGCTGTAAATCTGCTCATGTCACTCAACTTCTCATTTTAGTCTTAAAAATTCAACTGCCTACCCACTCAAATTGCATTCAAAAATATCTAGAGCAAGCAAACTAGCAAAAGATTATGATAGAACTGAAGAATATTCAGTTCGGCACAATAAAATTTACTGATAAATGCTGTGTCCGACTCTGGGAACACCATAAAGCAACAATTCAATATAACAAGAGAAATGCTACAGTGAGTTATAGTCAGCAGCAGCAATGGGAATGGGAATGACCAATTACAATTATTGTCTTTATTACGTTTGACTTTTGTCTTTAATATGCACATAAATACTTTTGGATCCAGAGGCAAAATGAGATTTCTGATTCTTTGGAAAAGAATCTTTCTCTTCCATAATTCTTTATATGAATGGTTATATTCAAAGCCATAATCTGTACCTATATGGACTTGGAGGATTGGCAGAACTGGTTTAGAATTCCAGTTCTTACCATTTGGGGCATTTTAAACAATTAATTTAATTTCTTTAAGTCTCAGTTTTCTCTTCTGTAGAGATAATAATATTATTTTATTTATCAGATTATTTTGGATATTATATATCTGTATATAAAATATGTGTAACAAATTGCCTGGTCATGCTTAGCAATCGATGTGTTTTGCTATTATTATCTTTACCAACAAATGCATAAGGGGTGAATTTTAAACAATTTTCAGTTTCAAATGTGTGCGTTTTATTTTCCTAAGCCAAGGTCTGTTTTATGGTTACTTTTTTCATCTCGAACATCAAATTTTGCCTATTAGCTATAATACCAAATTAATTAAGATTATTTCCTTTAAGCAAATTATAACTAAAGTTAATATTATGACTAGTATATAGGTAAGTTCCACTATATCTGCTGAGGATCTAATTCTGCACAATAGATACAAAAGGAAAGAGCAATAAGTAAGTTAATAAATTATCCTTATTTTGAAATATTTATTCTTAAAAGTAAATGTTTCGGTTCAAGTAATACTCATTCTTTGATGAAAGTGTTAGCTTCAAAAATTTGCATAAATAAAAATACATTTGAGAAACAAAATGGCCAATATTAAAAATAATGCAATTTAAATAATGTGCTTTATTGATAAAAATGCCAAAATATAATTAATTTGGTGCATGTTATTGTCTACTCTGAATATTAGCCATAATTTGGCCATTAGCCATATTATCAAATTTAAGGCAAGAATTTGATTCTCCCAGACGTATTGTTACTGTTTTACCACATGAATAAAGTTTGCTTTTTGTTATCATATTCAAAGAGTTTCCAATGTCCCAAAAAGTTGCACTCTAAAAAAATATATGTGTGTTTTTTCAGAGCCTCAAATATATTTTCCTGTAACAATTATGATATATATAGTTACATAGACACTATGAATATTTACACAATGCAGTATGAATTCAATTTTGAAGGTAACAGGAAAGCACAGCCTCAATTAAACTTGATTTATTTGTCCTTATGTAAATCCTCAACTTGTCTCTGGGTGCTTTTAAGTGGATATATTGACAATATCCTTCCTAGGGGTTCCTTATCTTTGTCAATCATATAGCTATTATCTATATTAGCTCTCTAGAATTTTCTTTTAAAAAAAGTTAAACATACAGAAGAAAAATGGAGGTCCTGGAGTACATAATTCATATTTTTAAGCCCTTAATATGCACCTCTCCAATTCTGTTCAGCAGACATTTATGAGTTGTGATAATGTGCTAGGCACAGCACCAAATAATCAACACCTTTCACTTACATTATTTCTATTGATCTTGATTTTACCACCAAGAAGTGCACGTTCTTATTTCTATTTCAAAAATAATGAAGTTGAGGTTCAAAAAGGTTAAACAGGTGACAGAATAGGATCTGAACTTTAATCTGCCTGATTCCTAAGACTTGCCGTAATTATTCTGTTGCCTCTCTACAAGCAAAATCTTTTATCAATTTGTTTACCCAAAGAGAGAACCCTGGCCATTGAAACTCCTTTGAAACTCATCTTAAACTCTGTTAACAAGAGAGCCAATAAAATGCTTTGTTTGTTTTTATATAGGTATATGGCCATTATTGATCCCTTGAAACCCAGACTTTCTGCCACAGCAACCAAGATTGTCATTGGAGGTATCTGGATTCTTGCATTTCTACTGGCCTTCCCTCAGTGTCTTTACTCTAAAACCAAGGTCTTGCCGGGCCGTACTCTTTGCTATGTGCAATGGCCAGAAGGTCCCAAACAACATTTCACGTAAGTTAATGCTCTATTACAATTTTCAATTAAATGTATTGATCACTTCAGGAATTATAGGCTGGGAGCAACAATTAAGCAGATAAGACACAGACATTTCCTCCAAGAGCTCACACATTCCTTGGGAAAAGAGACACATAAAAATATTATACTACAATATGATATGGCCAATTAATTTGTATAAGTTACAAAGGTTTCTGATTGGAAAAATGTGATGACCTCTATATGGGGAAGCTCTGGGGCATTTCTGGAGGAGGCAATGAGATTACTGGAGATGAAATCGCAAAGGAAAGTGAGGTTGTTATAGATTGAGAAATGAGTGAGAAGGGAAGAACTGAAAGGTGTGGACTGCTCTTTTAAGAAGCCTGGCTGAAGGGAAAGGGAGTCCTGGTAGGTTCTTGGTTGTGTTCCTTTGTTTTAGCATTAAAAAACTTAAGCACTGGACTGGTAAGGAAATAGGGATGCTATACGACAGAATTTAGTATTTCATATTTTGGACCCACCTTAAGAAAAGCAAAGGGAAAAATAAAACATAACTGTGTGATTGTTTGCATTTTGTTTCTTATTCTGACCGTTTAACTTTTATTTCAATAAAATTCTTACCTAGTGATCTGTTTTGCCTTTAAAAATAGCAAATGATGCAAATATAATGGTCATTTTTAAAGTAGCCATTTAATCAAACTCTGCTCTACTTAGAGTCCAGATTTTTAAAGAAAAACACTAGAAAGTATTTACTGAAGGAAAAGCAGGCAGCAGTTATTAAACTGAAGACTGCATTCCTTCCCTTAGGTATTATTAATAAATCTTAGTTGTATGATAACAAAATAAAATTAATCATCATAATAATATTATTTGTTGACTGAATCAATTCCCCATTGACATTATACTTAATAAGCAAACAGGCACAGAAAGGCAAGGAGATTTGAGTCCCTTTACACAAAAAGCACAGGTATTGAGAATACCAGCATACCAGACTCTTTAATCACTTTAAAGCCTTCCTAAAACTGGAAGTCACACAAAAGTTTACACAAATTCTAATTCACTATCGTGTTATTGGTTGTCCTCCTATTCCTCCCTAATTATATCCTTATAATTTTGATTGAAAGCTATGAAATCCCAGAATTTAGTTTGATAATTTATAGTCTCTTGATTTTGGTGTGACTAACACATCTGTATGTGATATGTCAAATTAATGATGCAATCAAATGTGCCATGACTTTGGAAAAATCCATGTAAATGTCTTTATCTGATTTTTAAATCATAGTCAAATAGCTTGTGGGTCCAATGTGACTCAGAGTATCTAGCTACTTTTTCTCATTTGGATGAAAACCAATTTATTTCAAATATGACTGATAATTACAGGATATATATAATAGTCTTACATAGGAGAAAATGTCAGTTGATCAGTTTATTCTGTCCCATCTCTTTTCCTCTGATTATACATTTAATAAGGTTAGATCAACAATTACCAAACAGAGGAAAGGCATCCATCCTGAGCCTCTAGGCAAGGGAGAACGAGTGTAGTTTAAACAAACACTGCAGTTCAGCTATAGTTTTCATACATGAGGTAAAGACTGATGAAGATCAACTGACAGCATTTGGACAATTGTAGGTGACAACAGCATGGTATTTTGATGGATTTGTGAAATGAGGACTTAGAGAAAATGTGGAGATAATCTTTGGCATTTTCAATTAAGATTTAAAGTGGAATGAATTCAAAGTCCCACTATTTATTCTATTATGCTCTTCAGCATGTGTTTTTCTTATTTCTTGCAGTTACCATATTATTGTCATTATACTGGTGTACTGTTTCCCATTGCTCGTCATGGGTATCACATACACCATTGTCGGAATCACTCTCTGGGGAGGAGAGATCCCTGGAGACACCTGTGACAAGTATCATGAGCAGCTAAAGGCTAAAAGGAAGGTACTGTTCCATATAATTTACCTAGCGTTTGTGTAAATTGTGGCACATCAGAGAAGGAAAACACCTAATTATGGCAATTTAATATAGTAAGCTTTGATGCTTTACTCCTACTTCTCTTTTTTCGTTGTTTTATTTCTCTTTATCAAAATTTTATTTTACTTTCCTTTTGTCTTCTATAAGCCACTGTCCATGTATAATATCAGTTTGTGATAGAACAGTCTCTTCCTTACAGAAAGACTTTTTATTACCTTTTGTAGAGTATTCTTAATTACTCCACCATAAACTTCTGAAATTTCCCTTTGAGAGTCCCAGTTGATTGCTTCCTGTAGCTCTAGTCATCTTTTTCCTTTATTGAACAGAATGCCTTTGATGTACTATATAATCTTTCAGAAGTTTCATTTATCCCAGGAACGACACATTAAACAAGAAAACCTATCAAAATTATTATAGTGATGTTTTACTAGGATTATTTTTTCATTAAGTTTTTTTCTGACTACCACTATGTGACTCAATGAGTGAGATTTTTTTTTTATAAATGTGTGCAGTTAAAAAAGAATCTTAGAGTCATCTATTCTATCTTCCTTTCTCCAGTTGGTGAGTATCTAGTACAAATCAGGGAGGTTTTTCCAAAGATAAGCAAATCATACTGATTATGCCAGTTACTATTTATTCCACTTGTGATTCATTTATTTATGTAGACTTACAATCAGCTACATGGACACTTCCCTTAGAAAACACTCGGCATTTTTAATCTTTCCATTTATTTGCTGCTATAGTCTTTCAATGATATGAGTAGTTATATGCACAGGATAAAACAATGTTGAGCCACTGTAAATTCAGATGGAGTAACCATTTCATCTCTTCTGCATGGTCTAGACATTGCTTAAAAAAACACACTCAACAATTTAAAAACCACTTACCTACAGACACTCACTTAACAATGATAAATAAGGTTTTAAGACTAGATCAATCTAATATAGAAAATGGATTCTATCTTAACACTAGTATGTTTTTCCTCTTACTGACAAACAAAACATGTTTGGTTAATATTTTATCATGATGTCTAGTATTTGAAAACAATTTTTTCACATCAGTTTAGTCATTTCAGCCTATAATATACATAATTTCATTATATTTCTGTAGGAAAAAAAAACTTAACAATGAAGTACACAAACAACCAAACTATGACATTACAACATTAAAAAAAGAACTACCAGAACTTCAATAACATGGTCATCTTGTATAAAAAGTTTCTCCATATAATTTCAACCCTCACTTTCTAACATCTTGCTCATGTTGCATCCTTTTTTAGAGAAACATTTTCTACCAGCTATGTTCTAGGCATAATCATATTAAATAACTGATGTGATGTATTATATTTCAGAAGAATTTGTCTTAATCTTTCCCACTTAGTCTCTTGTCTTTTATTTCTTTCCTGCTGGTTTAAGCATCTTTTTAAAAAACATTTTCCTCTGTTCAATTCTAGACAAATTAAGTTCAGAAATTATAGATTATAGATACTTTTCCTTCATATACATGTAACATTTTTCTAGGAAAAAGTGAAAATTTAATGAGTGCTCCTTTGAGTTGATTCTCAGAAGAAACAAAAGCAAAAGGAACTGCTTTTACATTTGCCCCCACATAACAGATGAGAGTAAGGCATAAATATTCCTTTTTACTTCATTACTGTATAATTTCAAAGTACAAATATCAATTCAAACTGAGAGTGTGACTCTTCTAGAAAACTTCAAAAATTAAGACATTAAGTCCATATTTCTTTTTCTCAGATTGTATTCTGGGTATAAAATGACACGTGTATGGACTTTCACAATAAATCATCTTGTCCTTGGATTTCTTTCACAGTCACTTAGTGGTACAACCATCAATATCTCAGAATTAACACCCATTCTGTCCAAAAAAAATTTTAATTTCAAAATATAAATAGCTCTTCTCAAATTTCTTTTTAAATTTGAATTAAAATATTGTCTTCTATGATTTGGAATACAGTTATTTCTAGTAATCATGCTATTTTCATATTTTAGTATGACTACCTACATCAAAGATATGAATCGTACCCTGGATGGGCCATTTAATTATATGCTGTCTCCTAGAGAATACATCATTGATTTCACAGATCGTACTTGAGAGATAAGAGAGTATCGGTTATAGGAGTGCAAATTCATCACGACTGTTGGGAAAAAACAACTCCATAAACAACTCTGAGACAGCCTAATACTAATAAAAGAATAGTGGTTGTTGATTGAGCTCTCATATACACATGAACAAGAATAAAGAAAAGCTTAAGAAATTTTTGTCAAATCACTGAGAAGATCTTTGCAACTACTGAGAAACATTGATTCCATTTTTCTTTCTCCCACAATCTTTAGGAACTGTGCTCAGTTTCAAGCCTCGTAGATTAAATTCTCTGAAGAACAGCCAGTAGAAATAAATTATATGTCTAAGTTATATAGAACCTAGCAATGTCTAAAAATTAAACTAATATGAAACTTTCAGATAATTTAGGATTAATAACCCCCACTTGCCCTTGACATTTGTGCTGCTTAAGTACATACATAGTTTGAAAATAATACCAGTGGTTCTATCCAGTAACAGGTAAAAAGACAAAATATTAGCCTTGAGAAAAAAGTTAATACTTCTAGAACTATTTCCTCACCATTAAAATTGGAGTATTGAACCTGAAAATCAGTATTAAAATTCTATGGCTGCATGCAGCTTCTTAAACTCTAGGAGACAATCTGTAGGATTGTCTAACATTTGATTCACATAATATAGAACTAGGTTTTCCAAAAGAGTTAGCAAGCACATTAATACACTCTTTCTTACATAATGTATTTTACAATTTTAAAGGACAAAGTATGCCTCACAACTCAACCAAATGTATCCTTAATTTATAGTTTTCTGAGTTTTAAGATCCTGTATGATATGTACCCATTGACTTTAAATTTGTCTGTTAAGTGTGTATATTGAAATAATAATATCTCTTTAACTTACAGATTCCTGCACTTTAAATAACAGTATCTTCAGATAGTAGCAAAATATAAAATATTAATATCACACAATCCCCAAAGCCTTGGCTAAGGTTGGTTCTATTGTTTTTGGTGGTAATTGGTTAATATTCTTGCCAAAGCTCACCTTTAGGAAATATATACTATTCAGTACATTGCTATAAAATTAAAATTGAAAATTAAAATTATAACATTTTTATAAACTTTTAGGAAGGAATGCTTTTCTAACATTATCCTATTTGCTGAGCTTATTGTATTAATGTTTACATTCCAGTGTGAGAATAATTTAGTGTCTAGAAAAACAAAGTGATCTTTGTCTATTTTGTTCTACTTATTGGTAGATATAGTCATAGATTTTGGCTACCTATTAAAATCTTGGCTAAAATACTATAAATGAAAATTATTATTAAAGCTATCTATTAAAGTCATACCAATTACTCAACAAAATTTGAAAACTTATCTCTTTATTTAATATATGTTGGCATATGAAAAGCCAAATTTTAAGTATCTAGTGCTCAACTCACAAGCTGATTTAAAATACATTTGTAGCTTAAAAAATCTATTTTAGAATGATAGATTTGATCAGCACCTTAAATTTCATTAATCCCTTATCTTACTGCTATTCTTTATGGTAGCAGATTAAAATCTTGCCTCAGTTGAGAAACTGGCAAAAAGCTTCCATGGTGTATGTGGTTCTTTGTCTTTTTTTTACTTTTAAAAAGAAACACCCAGAAAGATGCATCAGATTTGTGTAAATGAGGGTATGCCAAGACAGATTTGCTTTATGATCTTAAGAAAATTTGTGACTGTATATATGTATTATATTATAAATGTGTGTATATATATTATATATATGTATATAATATTATATATGATATTATATATAATACACATTTCAAATCAGCAACAGGACTTTGTTTATATTGCAGATAAATATTATTTTTTCTTTAAAAATTTTTGATTAAAATCAAATGCAGTTTAAAATGAATGCAGAACTAATTTCAAGACATTTATATTTGACTCTGATTCTATTTCTTTTAATTAATCAAGAATTTGTATTTATGACAGCTGTAGATTTTATCAAGATTTACAGTTAAAATAATTTACATTAAGGATAAAATCAGTATCCAAGTGGCATAAAGTTGCTTGTTTTTTCTCTGCATTTAGTTAACAAGAAATGTAAATGGAAAATTTCCTATGATGATATTTAACTGAAGTTAAAACAAAGCTCAACCATAGAAGGGAAAAAAAGAGTTATTTTCAACTTTTTCAGATTTAGCCTATAAACCTCTTACTCTTGAAGAATATCCATTACAGATGAATCAAGAATTTGATACTACATTTCCTTTTCTGTGTTTTAGTAGTTATATAACATTTTGTAATATTAATTTGAACTTTTTCTTAATTGTTGTCTTCCTTTAGCTAACCAGCTTAAACAAATAAAGTCACATAATATGTATATATTTTTCTAAGAGAGCACTTATTGTTCAGTATCAGCAGTGGTAAATGTTCAGGGTAATTGAGAATCTGCTGAAATGCTAGCTTTGTGAATAAACTAGAATTTTTCTGTCTGACTCTCCTCATAACCAATTTCTTTATGTACTTTGCTTACTTTGTTGCAATAAAAAATACTTGGTATTATCCATATGACTTAGACTTCAAACAGTAATACATTATGTAGATGTACAAACTTGTGTATACTGCAATGTGATTTACCTTTGTGTCCTTCCCTCATTTCTACACCTCCATGACACATTTCTAGTTATTTCCATGCATATTCTGTCATATTATTATTAATTATAAAACCATATATTCCTTTAAAAATATTTCCATATTTTAAAAATATGTATCTTGTGTATTCTGCTTTCTTTTAAAAATCTATATTATCATCCAGGTATAAAACCCACATTTCAATGGTAGATTTTCTAGGGAAATGAAAGTCAAGAACTATAAAATTATCTTTTTAAGTTTCTGTCATGTATAAGACAATAACTCCCCAATAAATAAAAATTAATATTGTAAGCACTTTTATACAGAAGTTCATGATTATTTATCAAGTGTTTTTCACTCAAATATTTTGATAAAAGTTTGTATTTTGGTTGATGAATCAATGAACACCATTAGAATGTATCTGCTTTTTATACTTCTGAAATTATATAGAATTTTAATTCTTCAGGATATGATCAAAATTTAGCCAACTATTTTAAAACCCCATTATCTTAAAGGAAAATAACTAAAATCAAAACAAAGTTTTAAAAAACCTTAAATTTATGACAGATATTGAAACAGTGAAATGTAAAGAAAACTAATAGCTGTTTGTTCCCCTCTAACATCTACCCCAACAGAGATACAAGCTGTAATCAAGAGTGCCTCCTACACTTCAGCTTTGCAGTGATCACAAATTTCACTTGCTTTGATTAAATCTTCTCCATGCTCTTTATGGGTGACTAATGGATAGAAATTATTTTGAAAAGTCTAAAAAAGTCTCTGTGTGTTCCTTTTTGGTTTCCTACTAGTACTTGAGAAGTAGAAATGTTTATTCCTTGAAAAAAAAGTAAGAAAAGATAGCACTTTAAGAGGAATACCTGCAGCCCTTGAATGCTTGGCAATCACTTGAAAAGATTCTTCGATGGTTACCCATCAATATTTCTCATGCTGCAGTTACAGGTGCAGGCAAGATTGCAACCATGTTTGCGCATCATGGATTTCTCTTAGCATATGAAATCAGTAACACATGCTATTACATCAATATACAGAAATCTGTCGTGTTTCTATACACTAATAGTAAACTATCATTAAGAGAAATTAAGAAAACAATACCATTTACAATTCAGTCAAAAAGAATAAATTATCTAT